AGTCAGAGCGGGACTCCAGTGTCTCCCGCCACGGGCCCTGAGTCCCGCCCCCTCGCGCCTGCCCGCCCGCAAATCCATCCTGCCCCCACTACGTTCTCCAAAACCCACCGTGCAGAGTAGAGGAAGTTCCTGCCATCACATAATTCTATTCATGCTGTTTCCTTGAGACGAGAGAATCTTCAGACAGAACAACAAAGCCACCTATAAATTTGGCAATCATTCCTAAATTATTTGTTTACATTTACAGGATCATCACATAACTACGTATTTTTGTGCTAAATAAATACACATGCACCTACACATAGTCCTTTTCAATCTTGAGAATATTATTTGCAAACAATGTTTCTCAGGTGTTCTATCCTGAGGGGCCGGGAGATAGTGGGTGCGACTGTTGCCTGGCTTGTAGGTCACCCAGGGTGGAACCAGGACCCCACATGGTCCCTGAGCCCACCATGAGTCCCTGAGTGCAGAGCCAGGAGCAGGCCTGCCTGGGGGTGCCCTCTGCCCCCCCAAAGGAAAAAATATCATGAGATGTACTTGGGGTTGTTATAGAGATTTAAAGTGTTTCATAGTCTAATAATAACAGAAAACAGGATTGCAAAAATCTTCGATCTTTGTCGCACTAAAACCCCGGCAGGGCTTCTAAGTGCAGGTGCAGTGAACAGGGTGGGTTCGGACACGTGATTTTGCATCCGTCTTGATTATTCTGAAGTGTCAGTAACTGATATCACTTACTGGGTGCGAAATCCAAAGTCGAGAGTCTCTGGCCATCTATTTTACACGCTTGCGTTTTCCTCCTTCAAGAAATTCCGGGCACAAACCACAAAACCCACAGCAGCGCCGTTGCTCAGAGCACAGGAACTGAACTCATGTCGTGAAAACCCACAAAGAAGGAAGTTCCCAGAACCCGCATTCCACCTTCCCCTGCCTCCCCCGAGGCTGCATTCCTGGTGACAGGACAGACATTCATTGAGTGCGTGTACATGCGTGCTCTCGTGGGCTGGGGGCCGGATCACCCGGGACTTGCCTGTGTGAGGCAGGTTGTCTACCTCCAGGCCACGCCTCCGGGCCCGGAAACACACAATTTGAATACATTCTCCAGGAAATTCTTAGGTAAAGGTAAAGGCCCTCCCGTTGATCGTCGATTTGCTCCAGCGGGCCCAGTAACGTCTCCATTGGAGACTTTGTTGTTACTGTGTCTGGCATATTGAATACGTCACGGGGAGCTTGCCAGGCTCTGCCCTGCAGGCGAGATACTCTGTGGTAACAGCATCGTCATTCCCGGCCTAAAATAGCACCAAGGATCCCGTAGCTCCTGCTCCCGAGATGGCCTCTGCTCCAGGCACCACGTTCCCCCTCGGGGTCCACTTGGAGCAGGGCACAGGGCTGGAGGCCCCACCTGCCCTGGCTGCTGAGAGCCCCCCACCCACCCAGGGAGGACCTGGGTCCGGCTACTGCGTGGTGGAGAGCCGCATGTGTTGGTCTGCAACCGGGGACAGGTGCTGCTTCTGGAGAGGTCATGTCTGCGCCCCAGCCCCCCCTGTGTGGCACTTCCCAGCCTGCCACGGCCACGGCGTCTCCTGCAGTGTGTGACCCAGTCCACGGGCTGAGACAGATCCCCTCCCCTCCGTCTCTTCCCTTCCTCTCTCTCCCTCCCTTCCTCTCTTTCCCTCTCTCTTTTTCTATCTCTCCCTCTCTCCCTCTCCCTCTCTCTCTCCTTCTCTCTCTCTCCCTCTGTTTCTCTCTCCCTCTCTCTCTCCTTCTCTCTCTCTCTCTCTCTCTCTCTCTCTCTCTCTCTCTCTGCCCGTGGGCAGTCCTGCTCCTGCCTGTTCCCATTCCTTCCTCTTTGCATCGCCTGTTCCTTGCAGGCAGCAGCTTGTTCTGCAGAGAGCACCCGGCCAGACTCTCCAGTTGCACCTGTCAGTAGAAGGCCCTTCTTTGGATGGAACCAGCTCCCTGGACTTTGGCCAAAGGACTCCTCATGTCCTCCTTGGACAGAGCCTCTGAGAACAGGGCCCCACCTCTCCCCTCACGGGCACTCTCACCGCCTCGCCCTGGGCTGGGCGCTCAGCTACACCACAGCCAGGTGGGGACTGGATGGCCCGTGGCCCCCAGCACGGGTCTGTGTCACAGAGGGCGGCTGCCCTGGCTCTGAGCCCCGCCAGCCCCAACACTTACTGCACAGCCCATGGACCCCTGACCCTTGGGTGTGACCCCTGGCCCCAGGGCTGGGCTGGGGCTGAGCGTCTGTGTGGTTTCTATGTGATGTCATTTTCAGTGCCTGAAACTTATTTTAATTGCCCTAACTAAAACTTAGGATCAGAGCGGAGCTGCTTTCCAGTCCCTCTGTGGGGAACCAACCCATCCACCCAGAATATATAAGAAATTTGCAGTGTAATTTTTTTCCCAAGAAACTTCAGAAAGAGAAAGCGTTTTCTCTCCAGATGAGAGGTTCCCATTTCCGTGTGCCCCTGGATATGATCTGCCCTCGACTGGGGTGAGAGACGAGAAGAAGGCTGGGACCTGCATATGGATCGCCCCACAAAGTGATGCTCGGAACTTCTCTCCAGAATACTCAGAATAAAAGTGATATTTATTTCCCCTGGGGGCTGGGGGTTGAGATGCGGGCACGCAGGTGGAGGATGTGTTATTGGAACGATACCTCCATGGGACCCTGTCATTAATGATATTGCAATTCATCATGCCTACATTTTTAAATTAAAAGAAATTAAATATCTGGGGCTGGAGCCATAGCACAGCAGGTAGGACGTTTGCCTTGCATGCGGCCAACCCGGGTTTGATCCCCGGCATCCCATATGGTCTCCTGAGCACCGCCAGGAGTCATTCCTGAGTGCAGAGCCAGGAGACACCCCTGAGCCACGCCGGGTGTGATCCAAAAGGTAAAAAAAGGAATTAAATGTCTAATAGAGTATGGGAAAGGGCATTTTGAAACTATCAGAACATAAAGGCGTGTCTGACGGAGGTGGGGTAAGGTTTCTCCCGGACGTCCAGAAGTGAACTGTGAGCTTTAATTTCCCACAGCTGTCAGGGAATTAAAACCCAAGCTCCAGCCCTGTAGCACAGCGGGTAGGGCGTTTGCCTTACAAGCGGCCAACATGGCCGACCCGAGTTCGATTCCTCCGCCCCTCTCGGAGAGCCCGGCAAGCTACCGAGAGTATTCGATATGCCAGACACAGTAACAACAAAGTCTCCAATGGAGATGTTACTGGGCCCGCTCGAGCAAATCGACGATCAACGGGAGGGCCTTTACCTTACCTTTACCTTGTTGCTTCCCTCTTGCCATGGCCGACCTGGGTCAGAGGAATCTCTGCCGTGGAAGACTCAGGTCAGCAGCACTTGGGCACGCACAGTGGACACGGCTCCCTTGGGGAGGGCCCCTCCTCAGGGCTCAGCGTCTCTGCAGTGGCAGGAAGAAATCATGAGAAAGCAAAGAAGCACTTGGAGCACATCTCTGAGAATCAAGCTTAACCCAGAGACCCTCCAGGAGGGACCTCCCCAGCATCCGCCCGTCGCTGCTTTAGGACACGTGGACTTGTGCTTGTGTGTGACCATGCCCTGATTCAAACCTCTCCAAACCTTTGATCCTGGTCAGCGTCGGTGTCTAACAGCAGACGCACGTCCAGCTTCTGTGACTGGGTGGCCCGTTGGGTCACCTTTGCTGTCTGAAATGAAGAATATTTACGTTGTTATTTACAAAAAGGCAGAGCCTGCCAAGCTCCCTGTGGTGTATTCGATACGACAAAAACAGTAACAACAAGTCTCACAATGGAGACGTTACTGGTGCCTGCTCGAGCAAATCGATGAACAACGGGAGGACAGTGCTACAGTGGACAGTGCATGTACAAAAAGGCATCAGGGCCACTACCGTGGCTGTCTTGTGCCCAGAAAATCAGCTCACCTGTGAGGTCATCGGAAGGTGGAGTTGTGCTCAGGACCGTGGGGGCGGGAAGCGGGCCCAGGGGAGGCTGCAGTGCACGGTCCTCGCGGAGCTGCAGGGGTAGACGATAATTCTAACACCACGACACGGATCTTAAAGGGGGAAACACATCTCACCCTACCCGCGACGTAGTTTAAACAGAGATGGAGGATTGCTGGCACAGAAACTGAGTAAATAGATTCGTTACTCATAAATCAAAGTGTGTGAGGCTGGTCCCTGCGCAGGCCCCAGGGCCATCATCTCAGAAACACAGTTCGTCCCCAGCATCCGAGTCAGCCACAGTGACCTAGACTGGAGCCATGTGGGCTGGGCGCCATGCTGGGATTTCAGAGTAAAAGTTGCAGTCAGAATGACGGGGCACGTGTCTGTGCAGTGCCGCCGTCTCAGACCCCGACCTCTCGAGATGCTGCTGTAATATAGAGGATTAATAAAAGTGTGCTTCAGGCTTTATGGCAGCAATATGCTGTGCTGGTAGATGCAGAGATACCAGAGAAGGGGAAGAGACTCTTATACTGACCATAAAGCTCTGGGCTGTCATTGTAGGCGTCCGAGACCTACACAGACAACCGATAGCTCTGTGTGTGTGTGTGTGGGTGTGGGTGTGGGTGTGAGTATCTGTGTGAGTGACTGTGTGTGAGTGTGTATATGAGTGTGTGTGAGTGTGTCTGTGTGAGTATGTGAGTTTTTGAGTGTGTGAGCGTGTGTGAGTGTGCGTGTGTGTGAGTGTGCATAAACATGTGTGCATTTGTGTGTGAGTGTATTGTGTGTGAGTGTGTGAGTGTGTGTATTTGTGTGTGAGTGTGTGTATTTGTGTGTGAGCGTGTGTGTATTTGTGTGTGAGCGTGTGTGTATTTGTGTGTGAGCATGTGTGTATTTGTGTGTGAGAATGTGTTTGTGTGTGAGTGTATGTGTGTGAGTGTGTGGATGTGTGAATGTGAGTGTGTGAGTGTGTGTGGTGTATGTCAGTGTGGGTGTCAGTCTGTGTCAGTGTGTGTGTGTGAGTGTGTGTGGCGCCCCCAGCCCCGCGTCTCTGTCCCCACAGAGAGGACCCTCATCACGCTGCCGCCATCCAGCATGGACGTCATGGTGGGCGAGAGCATTGTGCTCCCGTGCCAGGTGACCCGAGACCCCACCGTCCACGTGGGCTTTGCGTGGACCTTCAACGGGGAGCTCCTCAACCTCCAGAAGGGAGCGGCCCACTTTGAGCGGGTCGGCGGCGTAAGTGTCTGGGCCCTCAGAGCCTGGCGAGTCGCCCTCAGGCCTTCGCCGAGTGTGTCCCTCCCCGCCTGGCGTCCCGCGTCTGCCCACGAACCCTGCCTGTCTCAGCCGTCTCGTGCCCTTCACAGAAAGGGCCCATCTGCAGCGGTCAGGGGCTGGCCGAGGGCTGGGTGTGCGATGGGCCATGTGCCGTGTGGGTCGGTGCCCCCAGCCTCAGGGGGTGCTGGCCGGCAGGACCCTCCCACCCCCTCCGTCTGCAGGAGTCTGTCGGGGACTTGATGATCAGGAACATCCAACTGCACCACTCAGGAACGTACGTGTGTGCCGTGAAATCCACCCTGGAGAGCCTGTCGGCAGCGGCTGATGTCATCGTGAGAGGTAAGGTCCTGGCGGGGGGCAGGGCGTGGCTGGCAGCCCCCTCTGGCCCCTGGCCCAGCTGCTAGGGCTCCTGCCAGGGGTCGGAGGGTAGCAGTACAGTTCCTTTCTCCTGTGGGGGCTGTGCACAGGGCAGGAGCGGGTCCCTGGCAGGCCTGCCCCGGCCCCGGCTCCCCATGTGTCCACGGTAGCAGCCTCCCTGGGCATGCCTCCCCCATGGCTCATCGCTGCTCTGCCCCAAGAGGGCCGGGGTGCCCGCCCACACCGGAGGCCAGCTCCCCGCCGGGTCACTCTCCCTGTGGAGGTGGAATTAGTTGAGCATTAACCCAGATGTGCTCCCCGTGTCCCATGCCCAATATTTTGCTTCCGGCTGAACGCGAGCCCTCTCCACCCAGGCCGCGTGTCTGGCAGTTTCCATAGTTACCGTGAAACGTCTCTTTGAGGTCCCCCAGGCCCCCCCACGGAAGTGAGGGTCGAAGCCATTTCCAGCACGACCTCGGAGCTCAGCTGGACGCCGGGTTCCAGCAACAACAGCCCTGTTCAGATCTTCATCATCCAGGCTCGGACCCCCTTCTCGGTGGGCTGGCTGGCCGTGTCCACAGGTGGGTCTTGGGACCCGTCTCACGGCGGTTTTTCCTGCTCCGTGTCTGTCCTTGGTGGGTGCTGGGTTAGTGGCCAAAGTGGCGCCTGCTTTTCAGTTCCAGAAATTCTCAGCGGCAGCACGCACAAGGCCACGGTGGCCGGGCTGAGCCCCTGGGTGGAGTACGAGTTCCGTGTGCTTGCGGGAAACAGCATCGGCATTGGGGAACCGAGTCAGCCGTCAGCACTGCTGAGAACCAAGGCGTCAGGTAAGTGATGCACATCTGTTGCCCATCTCTGAGAGCCGGGAGCTTCCCTGGAGAAACCAGAGAAGCGTGAACACAGTGCTTCCGTGGTCTCACCCACGTGCCTTGTTCTGAGCCCGTGGCCCCTTGCACATGTCCTATGTGGACAAAGTAGGATTAGCTTCCACCCCTTTTGGGGGGCTGGAGTGATAGCACAGCGGGTAGGGCGTCTGCCTTGCACGCAGCCAACATGGCCGACCCGAGTTCGATTCCTCCGCCCCTCTCGGAGAGCCCGGCAAGCCACCGAGAGTATTGGATATGCCAGACACAGTAACAACAAAGTCTCCAATGGAGACGTTACTGGGCCCGCTCGAGCAAATCGACGATCAACGGGAGGGCCTTTACCTTTACCTTTACCTTACCTTTTGGGGGACGGTGACGCAGATGCTGACCAGGCCCAGGACCACGGCAGGGATTCTGCCAGCGGGGCCAAGGTAGAGGCCTTGTGGTCAATGGTTGCCCAGGGGCTTCCTGGACTGCACGGAGCGATGACCAGGGAACCATGCCGGAGACTGAGCAGGTGGCCCTCGATTCCACACGCCTCCACGCTGCCGTTTTCTCCCGTTATTTCCTGGAATAGTTTGTTCCCGCTGAGGGAGGCCTGTCAGCAGGGCAGAATCTCCGAAATCTCTGCTCCCCTGACCGCAGCCCACGTTCCACGGAGGATGTGTGGTCAGCAAGGGTGGGGCTGTGCTCATGGGGCCAAGGACAGTCCAGCTTGTTGGGGCCTTGGCCACTGTCTCCCTCCACTCCCTAGCCACCGTGCGCAGCCTCAGAGCACCAGTGCGGATTCTCCCTGTCCAGTCAACGACCCTCTCCCAGGAGCCTGGCCAAGCACTGGGAGTGAGTGGAGGCACTCGGGGACCCAGCTCACGTCGCTCCTTCTCCTTTCAGTGGGTGCTCTTGTGGCCCCCTCTGACCCACTGCTTGAGCAGGGGCTGCTGGGTGCCAGTGCTCCTGCGGCCAGCTCCTCACTGACCACTGCCAATTGCATCCAGGAAATGATCGCACCTTCCTGCACCTGGGAACTGAGCACAACCTTCCTGTACCCAGGAACTGAACATGCCTTCCCGCACCCAGGAAATGAGCATGCCTTCCTGCACTCAGGAACTCAGCACGCCTTCCTGCCTTCAGGAACAGTACGCCTTCCTGCACCCAGGAAGTGAACACGCCTTCCTGCACCCAGGAAGTGAACACGCCTTCCTGCACCCAGGAACTGAGCACGCCTTCCTGCACCCAGGAACTGAGCACGCCTTCCTGCACCCAGGAACTGAACACGCCTTCCTGCACCCAGGAACTGAGCACGCCTTCCTGCACCCAGGAACTGAACACGCCTTCCTGCACCCAGGAAGTGAACACGCCTTCTTGCACCCAGGAACTGAGCATGCCTCCCTGCCCTCAGGAACTGAGCATGCCTTCCTGGTGCTGGTACCCATCTACCTTCACACAGTGGCATTTGTGCTGTCTTCACAATGCGATTGATGCCGATCACCAGCTCTATGGCAGCAGACTGACATGGACTCTTGGGAGCAGGCCAGACTGTGGGCTCATCCGGGGACCCCAGCACCAGACATGCCCATCACTGGGGCCTGGCCCTGGTGGAAAGGACTTGGGTGTAAGGGCCTGTGCCTGTGTGTGTGTGTGTGTGTGTGTGTGTGTGTGTGTGTGTGTGTGTGTGTACGCTCCAGCGTGCCTAACTGTGGGGCCGGCTGGGGAAGCGGGGTTCCGAGTGCTTCTCTTCGGGACGTTTCTGTCCTGAAGGGAAGGTGCTGGTGGCCTTGGGGCTCACCTGGCCCGGCTCCTGCAGAGGCGCTGCTGGCCCTTCTCTCCAGTGTGGACGCTCTCTCTCTACAGACCACCGACTCGGGGCCTCCCTGGCGATTTCCCTGACGCTCTGAATCCCACTGAAGCGTCTCCTTTGAATGTGCTGTCAAAGACAAACTCTCTTCAGTAGCTTGAGGGTTAGCATGGCTCGTTTGAAAATGGAAGAAAGGAAGGTGCTTTCTGACCCACATCTCAGGAACGTGGTAACGAGGGAATTAGAGAGTCACTTAAAATAATTTCCTGTGCATCAGGGGCTTTGAAGAGTCTGAATCGGTGTCACTGGACACAGTGGGGAACTAGAAACTTCTCTCTTGGGGTGGGTTCTGCGTGAATTCATGTGACTTCTGGCCGAAGACACTGAAGACCAGGACAAAATCTGGAGGTAAAACGGCGAGTCCAGCGCGAGAAGGAGCCGTAGGCCGAGGCCAGAAGGAAGTGGCCGGAAGGAAGCGGCCAGGCGAATGAGGCCGGAAGGAAGCAGCCTGCTTCCACCAGAGAGCCAAGAAGGGCCAGCTGTGACCCTGGAATGGACAGTCCAGGGTGAGGGTGCAAGGGAGGTGACGAGGCGACGAGGCACTGCACCGTCCGTGACGTCCGAGGGAACTGTGTCCTGTGTGCATCTCACTTCGAGATTTAGCAAGTGGTGTCGGCACACAGAGCATTGGCCGCCACACACCATCGCTCCTCCGTGGACACCTCTAGGCAGCCTGGCCCGCTCTGAGTCCCGTGGCGCTGTACCTTGGGGGGCACCCGCAGCGCTGCAGGCGGCAACTCGGGGACCCCCTGCGGTGGTGGCAGAAACACAATCTCGCTTTGCAGCCCTTCCTCTGTGCCTGGCTCTGTGCTCAGCCATCCGCGCACACAGGCTCAGCCGTGACCACCCCCGAGACCCTCACGGGTGTTCCTGGGGATCCCGCCCCTTCCAGGGGCTGCTCCCTCTGACCCTCATAGACACTTGGCCTCTGGAATGTTCTGCCTCAAAGCCCCACAGTTCTAAAAGACAAGTGGAAACAGGCCCTCCCCCAGGGTCCTGGCAGCTGACCGGGGTCCCCACGGCCAAGGTCAGCACCGGAGCCCGGCCCTGCCGAAGCACACTCCCCAAACGAAGGGCTCAGTTCTGTTCTTCTTTTTTTAATTTTTATTAGTGAAACACCATGAGGTACAGTTGTAGACTTACGAATTTTTGTGCTTGGGTTTCGATTATACAGTGATCAAACGCCCATCCCTCCACCAGTGCCCATTTCCCACCACCACGGATCCCAGTATCCCTCCCACCCCCCATCCCCCATCCCCCCATCCCCCCCTGCCTCTGTGGCAGGGCATTCCCTTTTGTTCTCTCTCTCCTATTGGGTGTTGTGGTTTGCAAAAGAGGCAATGGGTGGCAATCATGTTTGGTCCAGAGTCTACTTCCAGCACCAGCTCTGTTCTTTAAATGATGTTTCTTTACCTCGGTTTCCCAGTCCTTCATGACTTTCAGGAGCACCGCTTCACATTTTTCTATGTCAAAGGAATTACTTTTTAATGTTAAAATATCCTGAGGATGGAACCCCCAAAAAGATCTTTCTTTTGTTTGTTTATTGTAAAAAAAATTAATTAATATACCGCCGTGGTAACTTGTTTACAGCACAACTGTATAATGAGGCACTAGCTCAGCGGTGCCACTGACACATCTGAATGGAACATCATTTCGCCAATTAGTAGATGATGCATAATAATGTCAAAGACATGATGTTACTCGGTTTTTAATTAATTTTGGATCGAGGGTGCTCGTGTATCAAACACAATCGTGTCCTCTCGGAGACTTGGGCGCCTGTGAGCGCGTTCACGCCCGTCCTAGGCGAGGGTCTCTCCTGGCGAGCTCAGGGGCCCGGGCAGGCGAGCGAGCACAGACGCCCCGCGTGGGGTTAACGAGTGCCCCCTTCGTGCCCCCTTCTCTTCTCTCCTCCAGTCCCCACGGTGGCACCGGCTGGCGTCGGCGGGGGTGGAGGAAGCCGCTCGGAGCTCGTCATTACGTGGGAGGTAATTTTCTGTCCAACTGAGTTATTTTGAAGGAAAAAGATTTAGCTGGCCAGGAAGAGCCCTGGAAAACAGAGTTATTTGCTCATGGGGGAGGGTGTACACAGACTTCCTGCTGAGATTCAGCGGCACTGGGGGCCTCTCTGCTCCGTCTCCAGGGGCCGGCCCCCGCCAGCTGCATCCCTGCCTACGGGGCGGCCAGGGGCCCTGGGAACTTTCCCCTTGGAGATGAACTGGGAGGAGACGTGTTTCCTGTGCTCCTGCGGGTGGCGATTAATCATCCTGCCGCTTGGTTTGCTCTTAGTCCCTCTGTGTCTTGCCGAGAGAGAGCAAGGCCCGTGGTCATCGGTTCTGGAGTCTGAGCACTGGGGGGTCATTTTACACTGATTTTACGAAGTTCAAAGTCTACGCGTGGCCCAGCTATCGCGTCCCCTGCCTGTAGAGGGGGCCCGGCTGGCGAAGAGACGCGGCCTCCCCATCCCCTGTTTCTCTCTGCGTCCCTCCCCTCTCCCCTCGTCCTCTGGGGAAGGACAGTCCAGGGCCCCAAGCCGCCATGTCTCCTTTGAATGTCCACGCTCAGCAGAGGCGAGAGGCAGCTGCCCGCAGCTGGTTAGCCCTGAGCTATGCAGCTAGGAAGGGCGGCACCGGCTGACGCCAGGACATCCCACCCTCCCGCACTCATCCAGGAGCCCCCGCGTCCTGGGTCCTTGAGGGGAGGGCGTCGTCGCCCTGGGTCCTCTCCCTCCATAGACGTGGCGCTTCGGGCTGCAGGTCCCTGGTTGACAGCACACAGGCCCCGAGTGCTGGGGCTCAACCTGCCAGGAAACCCCTCAGGTAGAAGGAGTCACAGCTCCAGAGAAGGGGTCGCATGAGGACCTGCACCCCAGCCCTCCCAGATCCTGCTCCCCGGCCACCTGTCCACACCACCTGGACGCCCCGCCTACCGCTGCCCTGAGTGCAGGACCCCGCAGAGCCAGGCAGGGTTGTTGTCTGGGGTCTGCGGGGTCAGAGGGGCTGGGGAAGGGCCCAAAGTCTGCACCTGGAGGAGCTCCCGTCACTCACTGCCCAGAGCTGCCTCTTTCCTGCTTCTGGGCTGGGCCTGTGCCCTGTGGCTCATGTGCAGATCTGGGGCAGGGTCTGACTCCTGACACCCCCAACTCACACACAGTCTCACAGACACATGTACACACACACACACACACGCATCCTCCCCGACTCACACATACAGTCACACACATACACGTGTACACACACACTCATCCTCCCCGGCTCACACATACAGTCACACACATACACGTGTACACACACACATCCTCCCCAACTCACAGACACAGTCGCACATACATGCACACGTGTACACACACACATCCTCCCCAACTCACAGACACAGTCGCACATACATGCACACGTGTACACACACATCCTCCCCCCAAGTCACACACACAGCCACATACCACATACACACGTGTACACACACACGCACATCTTTCCCCAACACACACAGTCAAAAATACAAGCACACGTGTACACACACATCCTCCCGACTCATACATAGTCACACGCACACACATGTTCACACACATCCTCCCCCAACTCACACACAGTCACACACAAACATGCACGCGTGTACACACACACATCCTCCCCCAACTCACACACATGCACACACCCCAGCATCCCGAGTAACGAATGGTGTGCTTTAGAGTGTCGGGATCCCCACACCTTCCTGCTGTAGTCAGCCTCTAGCTTACACCAAGTCTCATCGCACAACAATGATGTGACTGGTATTCAGGAAATCACTGAAAAATTTGGAAGGGAAAGGACAGACAGCCTCGAAGTGCCGTCTAACAAGCTTGTTGCGCTGCATTTAAGAACCCACATCCGAATTATGTTATTGTTTGTGAAAACTGGCAGACTCTAAGCCATCTTCTTTCCATCACAACTTCTGGGAAGTCGTGGGGAAGGACAGATGCAGAGTGTCCATCGTGCCACCACCCTTATCCGAGTCCTTCGAGTCGGGCTCTCCCTTGGTCGCATGCCGAGGGGACGTCAGCCCTGCCGCTCGCTGTGGAGCTGAGCACAGCCCTGCACGTCTCGGAGAGTTGGGCCAGAGGAACAGCAGCCGGGGTGGGCTAGGGGGCACCGGGCGCACCCCCACGGCTCGCATCTCCCCAAGCCCATCCCAGAGGAGCTGCAGAATGGGGAGGGCTTCGGCTACACGGTGATGTTCCGGCCCGTGGGCTCAGCCGCCTGGACCGTGGAGAGGCAGCCATCGGTCGACGCCTCAAGGTTCGTGTACAGGAATGAGAGCCTCAGCCCGCTGTCGCCCTTCGAGGTGAAGGTGGGAGTGTACAACCAGGAGGGGGACGGCCCCTGGAGCACCGTCTGCATCGTCTACTCGGGGGAGGACGGTGAGTAGGCGCTGGTCCCCGGGTGCCCGCTCAGCCTCTGCTCCTCTGGTCTCTGGCTGCGGTGCTGAGCACGCCCGACTCTTGGCAGAGCCCCGCCTGGCCCCCAGGGGCACATCCGTGCAGAGTGTCTCGGCTTCAGAGATGGAAGTGTCCTGGGAGGCGGTCAGTTGGAACCGGAACACGGGCAGAGTGCTGGGCTACGAGGTAACTCCTGCCAGTCTCCACCCTCCCCCCATCCCCATTCCTCAGCCCTGCCCCAGGCCCGTGGGGCAAGGAGAGTGGACGGAGGCCTCACCCCGCACTCCCAGCTGGGTCCCGGGAAGGGCCTAGGGTCCTGGCCTCCAGGACTCTCCCTGGAAACCCCCCGATGGTGGGTCTTGCCTCGAGACTCACTGGATGGGGCCTGGATAGGGCCCACTGGCCACTGCGTGTGGAAATGGGACTCACTCAATTTCACTCCCACATGTGGTCACACCATCCATTATTGGGCAGCAGAGAGGAAGGGCCAGAGAGAGCCGTGCCGAGTGCATTCCGCATGCAGGCGGCCTTGATCTGGCTCCGCGGGTGCCCCTGAGCACCCCGAGAGTGACCCTGAAGCATGAAGTGGGGGTCACGCCTGCACGCCTCTGGACATGCCCGTCACCCACTCTCACCCTGCCCCCACTGCCTAGAAGTCTCCTCTGTCCCCGTGACCCCCCTACACTGCTAGTCTGGCCGCCTGAGCCCCGAGGGGCACACGGGTCCCCACCCCAGCTCTGATCCTCCCCGGCTCTCGCCCCTCGGAGCCCCGACCAGCCCCTGCGGCCTGTCTTCAGGTCCTCCTCGATTTCCCTTGTCGTCTTCAGCTAGGTCCAGGCCCTACAGACCCACCCGAGCTCTTAGCCAGCAGCAGGGCCCAGGGCAGTGAAAATGCTCCATGTCGATGGACAAGCACAGCCACCGGCCAGTCCTGAGGCCCCGACACCAAGGGGCTCCCTTAGACCAGGGCTGGACGCAGGGGACAAGCCCTGCTGGGGTCTGAGACGCGTCTGCTGTTAAGCTGACCACATGTGCCCATCGTGAATAGAGGTGGAACTGATTCCCACTGTGCAGTGGCTGTCTCAACATCTTCCCAGGACATGGGGGCCCCAGACTGAGTAGGGGTGTACGGTCATTTCATTAGCCTCCCCCCTTCCTCCCAGACCACCCCCACCCCCAAGGCGGCTGGTGTTCAGGGCTCAGCAGATGCTTTTTCTTGTCCTGAGCAGATTCTGTATTGGACAGAGGACTCCAGAGGCTCCGTGATGGGCAGGACACGGGTCAGCGGCAACATCACCTCCAGGAATGTCACGGGGCTTCGCGCCAACACCCTCTACTTTGCTGCCGTGAGGGCCTACAACACAGCCGGCCCTGGCCCCTCCAGCGCCCCGATCAACGTCACCACCAAGAAGTCTCGTGAGTGTCCCATGAGGGAGGCCTTAGTGACCACCAGGGCTGAGTGTCCCATGAGGGCTGCCTTAGTGACCACCAGGGCTGAGTGTCCCATGAGGGCTGCCTTAGTGACCACCAGGGCTGAGTGTCCCATGAGGGCTGCCTTAGTGACCACCAGGCTGAGTGTCCCATGAGGACTGCCTTAGTGACCACCAGACTAGTGACCCATGAGGGCTGCCTTAGTGACCACCAGGGCTGAGTGTCCCATGAGGGCTGCCTTAGTGACCACCAGGGCTGAGTGTCCCATGAGGGCTGCCTTAGTGACCACCAGGCTGAGTGTCCCATGAGGGCTGCCTTAGTGACCACCAGGCTGAGTGTCCCATGAGGGCTGCCTTAGTGACCACCAGGGCTGAGTGTCCCATGAGGGCTGCCTTAGTGACCACCAGGCTAGTGACCCATGAGGGCTGCCTTAGTGACCACCAGGCTGAGTGTCCCATGAGGGCTGCCTTAGTGACCACCAGGCTGAGTGTCCCATGAGGGCTGCCTTACTGACCACCAGGGCTGAGTGTCCCATGAGGGCTGCCTTAGTGACCACCAGGCTAGTGACCCATGAGGGCTGCCTTAGTGACCACCAGGCTGAGTGTCCCATGAGGGCTGCCTTAGTGACCATCAGGGCGAGTGTCCCATGAGGGCTGCCTTAGTGACCACCAGGCTGAGTGTCCCATGAGGGCTGCCTTAGTGACCACCAGGCTGAGTGTCCCATGAGGGCTGCCTTACTGACCACCAGGCTGAGTGTCCCATGAGGGCTGCCTTAGTGACCACCAGGCTGACTGTCCTGTGAAGGCTGCCTTTGTGACCACCAGGGCTGAGTGTCCCATGAGGGCTGCCTTAGTGACCACCAGGCTAGTGACCCATGAGGGCTGCCTTAGTGACCACCAGGGCTGAGTGTCCCATGAGGGCTGCCTTAGTGACCACCAGGGCTGAGTGTCCCATGAGGGCTGCCTTAGTGACCACCAGGGCTGAGTGTCCCATGAGGGCTGCCTTAGTGACCACCAGGCTGAGTGTCCCATGAGGGCTGCCTTAGTGACCACCAGGCTGAGTGTCCCATGAGGGCTGCCTTAGTGACCACCAGGGCTGAGTGTCCCATGAGGGCTGCCTTAGTGACCACCAGGCTAGTGACCCATGAGGGCTGCCTTAGTGACCACCAGGCTGAGTGTCCCATGAGGGCTGCCTTAGTGACCACCAGGCTGAGTGTCCCATGAGGGCTGCCTTACTGACCACCAGGGCTGAGTGTCCCATGAGGGCTGCCTTAGTGACCACCAGGCTAGTGACCCATGAGGGCTGCCTTAGTGACCACCAGGGCTGAGTGTCCCATGAGGGCTGCCTTAGTGACCATCAGGGCGAGTGTCCCATGAGGGCTGCCTTAGTGACCACCAGGCTGAGTGTCCCATGAGGGCTGCCTTAGTGACCACCAGGCTGAGTGTCCCATGAGGGCTGCCTTACTGACCACCAGGCTGAGTGTCCCATGAGGGCTGCCTTAGTGACCACCAGGCTGACTGTCCTGTGAAGGCTGCCTTTGTGACCACCAGGGCTGAGTGTCCCATGAGGGCTGCCTTAGTGACCACCAGGCTAGTGACCCATGAGGGCTGCCTTAGTGACCACCAGGGCTGAGTGTCCCATGAGGGCTGCCTTAGTGACCATCAGGGCGAGTGTCCCATGAGGGCTGCCTTAGTGACCACCAGGCTGAGTGTCCCATGAGGGCTGCCTTACTGACCACCAGGCTGAGTGTCCCATGAGGGCTGCCTTAGTGACCACCAGGCTGAGTGTCCTGTGAAAGCTGCCTTTGTGACTGCAGGGTTCTCCTATCCTTGAGTCAGCACGTACCAAACCCCCTGTCATGTATAACTGAGCATCCCTGGACTGGGCGGCCTAAGCCATGACTTATAATGGGGCCGATGGGCGTCCAGTGGCTGAGGCACTGTCCTGTGCAGAGGCGGCAGCTATACCACACGGTGCCCCTGAGGTCACTGCAGGTGGTCGGGCCCCTGGCACTGTGGGGTTTGTGCATCCTTGCACCCGTGCATGGACCATAGCCCTAAGGAGACCCCAGGGCCCAGGGCTGGTCTGTCTGAGGAGGGGTCCTGTGCACCATTTGTTACTACACCAAGTGCGTGTCCATGCCCACGGCAGTGGCCCCTGCTTATGATGGCAGCACAACCGGGGGTCCAAGTCTAACCTCCTGGACACGGGCATAGGAAGGGCCCACTGAGGCGCAAGGCCTGGATTCTCCAGGCGTCCATGCTCAGGCCTTGGCATGGACACATCCACCTCCAACCACACGTGCTGGTCCTCGCCCGCCACAGACCTCGGCTTCTGTGCCTGCCTCACCTGCCCTGGAGCTGCGCTTCCCGAAAGGGACCGACCCTCAGGTCCTTGTCACTGCCCGTCCCAGAGAAGGTCACCAGGGCCCCCTTGTGGCCCCTCTTCCGTGTCCTCTGAGTCTGTCCACAGCAGACCCCCAGCTGCTGCTCCCGATCTCCCGCCCACTGCTGGTTCTGCCTGGAGTGTCACTGTGACTCGGCTCTCGGACACCAGAGGGATGTGGGAAGGGCTGGACTCATCCCAGCCCAGCTGATGGGCATCATGGGTCCCATTTCCTGCTGCCTGTGGGTGTGCTTCCCTCCTGAGATCCGGGCACAGGGGTCTCTCTGCAGAGTTCAGGGGAAGCAGCCCCCCACCCCCGCCTCAAGACTTGGGGCAGGACCCGGCTCTCTCCGCTCTCTGGGGCTGGAGCCGCTCTCTGGCGCTTCTCCCAGCAGGAAAGGAAGGATGGCTCCTTGTTCCATAGCTGCCCGGAACCGTCCCCAGGGCTCGGGGAGGAAGCCCAGAGCGAGCAGGAGACACGCGACGGTGAAGGCGGACGCTGGCTCCCAGCTTTGCCAGGGAGCTGACGTGCTGTGCACCCCGGGAGAGTGCAGGATGGACACAGCTGTCAGGGTCCACGGCTCTCCCTCAGGCTGTGCCACCCTCACCTGGCAGGGGAAGCCCCCAGGCGCCCTGGGTTCTGTCCGATGGACTCTGTGAAGCTGACGTGGAGAGCCCTTTGTTTGGAGAGGGGATAACGGCACCCGTTTTTGCCGCTCCCCTCCGGAGGTGATTTACCTTCCAGGGGGGCCTCACTGAGACCCTGAAAGTCGGTGTTGAATCTCAGGGGCGGAAACACAGGGCAGGCAATGGCTGGTTGCTGAGGCTCTGAGAGGGCAGCCCGAGTGGGGAAGTTCGGGTGCTCCAGCACGTGAGACAGAGAGCTGCCAGGCAAGGGTCTCCCATGACAGCCCCCCGGACACTTGGCCCCGGAACGGCGGGCCGCGGTGGCTGGTGAGAACTATGCCCTGGTGCTTTCTCGAGTCGACGCCTGTGTTTCGCTGGAAGTGACTCAGCTCGGCAGAAACAAACGCTCGCAAGGACGAGCGAGGCATTGCCAGGGCGTTGGGAGCCCCACAGACATCCTGTGAAAGGAATTTGGATTTCAGACCAACGGGAGAAAAATATTGACATCAGTTCCAAGAAGAAAGCCAGGTGCGTGGGGGCCGTCTGCTAACATGGAAGAAGGTTCCAGACCCAGTAACAAGAGCCGTTTGCCAATCTCGGTTGCATTTGGCCTGTTGCTGGCTGACGAGCACTGTGCTGGGTTTCTCGTGCTGTAAATATGCAATCCATCCTTATTTAGACAAGAAGGAGGCATGAAGCTTTTATTTCATCTCGCTCTTATGTTCTTTCTCTCTTGCCCAAATGTCAACCCCATGCTGTTCTTTAGAAGTGTAACATAAGAAGTTGTTTTTGAATTGAGTTCACAGTGTGAAGTACAGTGCATATAAATGCCATCTACAGAAAAATTGATCATAGGGAGACCATTAGAGGCACGGAAGGCTAGCTTAGTGCGCTGTCATTCGATTAAGAGGGAACGGGCTGGTCTTTGGAAGTTGTCTGGAAAGGTCAGGAAGACTGGCAAAGTGCAAAGTGCTTAGTTTTGAGATTTCCTTAGGGTTTCCCATTCGCCAGTAGGGATTATGGCCACACCCTCCACGGCATCGCACCCGCCTTTCACGGCCGGAAGAAAGAATCGCAGTGTCTCCGGAATACTCGTGGTCCAGAGAAACACGACATCACACCCGCAGAACCAGAACTGCTGGCATGTTTGTGTCAACAGGAAGACTGGCTGGCGCAGCCTCCAATGCTTCTTTTAAAAATACCAGACAAAGGCCGAGAGCCATGGTGTAGACAAAGACAAGAGAGGCGAGACCCTTCCAGTAGCACGCTCAGACTCAGCGACCTGACGTCGAAAGCAAAGCCCGAACCCACTCGGGGCACTGTTGTCCAGAATTCCAAACGTGCATTCAGTATGTCTAAGAGGAGAGCCATGAGCAGGCTTGGGAATTTCATTTTAATGAGGAGCACTTTGGACCCTGCAAGGGTTAGGTTACATCCACAACCCGTCGTGGAGGGCTGACTCTCAGGAAAGAGAGGAGTTACTGAGCTTCAATTTGATTTTTATACTTCACTTTTAATTCTCATGCGGGAATGTGGTCTACAGTAAGAGCCTCTGCGTCAGCTGCCCTCCACGTGGGTTACGCCATCGAGTGGCCGGGGCCCCCACTGCTGTCTCATTCTCACTCCCTCTGCTACACCCGCCCCCCCACTCAGGCACCTAGTTCTGTGCTCAGAGTCCAAGATTAGCTTTGTTTTGTAACTGTCCTTCCTCTTTTTTTCCTGTTTGTTTCTCTGTGGACACAAAAGTCACATCCTGGCATCCTTCCTTCTCCCTCTGACTCAAAATGAGATACCGACTAGTTTCATCCACATTGTAGCAAAGGGTAAAATTTGATCTTTCCTTATGGCTGAGTAGTGTTCCATGTGCCCTGTCCCAGACACTAATACAGACTGGAATGTCTTTATCATCATGGGGGTTATCGGGCACTGAGGTTGTTTCCAGAACTCACCTTTTACGAAAAGCACGTCAATGA